GTAAGTGTAATGACATACTCCATGGCATGCAGTTGTGAGATAACCTCACTTTTTGGCTTCTAGAGCTACTGAAGACAATTTATTGGTCTGAATGCTAAATGCTGACTTCCATGAGCCAATGGAATGGCACATACGTTTTCGATCTGTGAATAATTAGCGCGAGGGAATTGTATTAATAGCACAATAGCTTTTCTTTAATATACAAAGCCAGGAACTGGGCTGGCTGTGTGCATAAGTTGATTATAAGTGCAAACAGCTTCTAATTTCAAGTATACACAAATCAAGGCTGCATTAAAATATGGTACACAGGAGCTTTAATGATAGACTTTTAACACCAAGACAAAAAGCAAACTTGTTTTTTGGAACGTATGGACAATATACGAAGCAGAGAAGCTAGCTCAGGTCACAGCAGAGATGAGATGCTACACCTTAAACAGCCTGGGTGTCAGCGAGAGCAGATGGACTGGATCAGGAAGATTAACAGCCTTTGGAGAAACTTTGCTGTGTTCTGGATGGAATGATGGACAACACCATGAGGGTGTTGCCATTCTTTTGAAGAAGAGAGTGGAGGTCCATCAGCATCAGACTTATGAGAGCCAGAATGACAGGGAAATGTAATAATATCACCCTAATTAGGTGCTATGCTCCGAAAAATGACAGTGATGAAGAAGTAAAGGACAAATTCTACCTTACACTACAGGCAGCATTAGAGAGAGTATCATGCCATGACCTAACTATTATCACGGGAGACCTGAATGCCAAAGTTGGTGAGGACAACACAAACAACGACAGAGCAATGGGAAAACGTGGGTGTGCCACCATGAATGAAAACAGAGAGAGGCTTGTTGATTTCTGTAATATGAATAACCTAGTCATCGGTGGAACCCTGTTTCAACACCGTGAAATCCACAAGCTGACATGGTGTTCTTCAAATGGCAGAGATAAGAACCAGATTGACCACATGATGACCAATGGCAAATGGTGACACTCACTGACAGATGTGAAAGTGAAAAGAGGTGCAGATATTGGCAGCAACCATCACCTTGTGACAGCCTCCGTCAAGCTAAAACTGAGAAGTGTGGGACAAAGAAGTTATGACATTGACAAGCTAAAGTCCTCTGAAATACAAAAAGCTTTCATTCTGCAGTTAAAGAACAGGTTTCAGGCACTTGCAGACCTTGATGAAGAGGAGGGGAATGCAGATGAGGAGATCAACAAGAAGTGGGACAAAGTAACAGCAATTTATAAACAGAGCAGTGAAGCCTGTCTAGGCTACAGGCAGAAGAGAGGGAAGGAGTGGATTACACCCAGCACATGGAACTTCATAGAAACCAGACGAGCCCTGAAGAAAAAAAGGTTTAGACACAATATCCCAGAAGCAAAAGGACAAATACCACAAGCAGTATAGCAAGGCACACTGGGAGGTCAAACACCTTGTGAGAGTGGACAAACGACATTATATTGATAATCTGGCAACACAAGCAAAGGATGCAGCTGCTCGTGGTGAACATGGAACCGTCTACAAAATGATGCGGGTTATCAGTTGTAAACGGCAGACACCAACAAACAATCTCATCAAGGAAAAGCAAGGCCACCCACTAACAAAAGAAAAAGAACAAGAAATACGCTGGACAGAGCATTTCAAAGAACTGCTGAACAGGGAGCCACCTAAAGAGGAAGCAAACATCCAGGAGGCAGAAGAAGATCTTGATATCAACACAGACATCCCAACTAAGGAAGAGATCATTCAAGCCATCAAATCCTTAAAAAAACGGGAAAGGTCCTGGCGAGGATAACTTGAATGCAGAATTTGTTCAAGGTAAATCCTGAGTTAGCATCTATCCTGGCCCCTCTATTTACATCAGTCTGGGAAAGGGGAAAAAGTGCTAGATGAGTGGACCAATGGGTTATAGTGAAGATACCAAAGAAAGGAACTCTCAGTGAGTGTAATAACTGGCGTGGTATCACACTTTTATCTGTGCCAAGCAAAAGTATTGTGTAAGATCACAGTCCAACATATATCAGAAGCAGTTGATAGCGTTCTCAGAAAAGAGCAAGCCGGTTTTCAGAAGGGCGTGGATGCACAGACCAGATCTTCCACTCTATGAAACATAATAGAACAGTGCTTAGAACGGCAACAGCAGCTCTTCATAAACTTCATAGACTTTGAGAAGGCTTTTGATAGCATTCACAGGACCAGCCTATGGCACATTCTGCAGCCATATGGAATCCCTTATTTCAACTTTACGTGCAGTGTTGATTACAGTGAGCTCAGCTTTGAAGTCAAAACAGGAGTACATCGGGGTGTGTCATGTCTGCAATCCTCTTCAACGTTGCCATCGACTGGGTAATGTGGCATACAACAGAAGACATGCTAAGAGGCATTAAATGGACATCCTTCTCATCCCTGGAAGACCTGGACTTCACAGATGATCTCACTCTCCTATCACATACCCAACACCATATACAAAAAAAAACAACTCGACTTAACGCATTCAGCCAGCAAATTGGACTGAAAATCAACCGCAATAAGACAGATATCATGGCCTTTAATATTGCCTCACCATCACCATTACAGAGAGAGGATTATGTTCTCACCAATGTAGAAACATTCACATACTTGGGCAGCACCGTCAGCTAAGACGGTGGAACAAGCCAGGACATCCAGAACAAAATCAATAAAACCAGGAACGCCTTCAGGAGCTTAAATACAGTCTGGAAATCATCAAAATACAACACCAAAACCAAACTCAAGATTTATCAGAGCTGTGTATTTTCAACAGTACTTTATAGTGCAGAATGCTGGGGAATGAGAAAGTATGACATGTCCAAACTGTCTTCATTACATACAACCTGCCTCAGAAAAATCCTCTGTATCTTTTGGCCCAGAACAATCTCAAACCTAGATCTATTGACACAGTGCAGCCAAGAGGATATGAGCACCATACTTGCCTGGAGGCATTGGAGATGGATTGGCCACGTGTTTTGGATGGAAACTGAGTCCATCACCAGAGTAGCAATAAGATGGACACCTGAAGGCAAGCGAAAATGAGGCTGCCCGAAAAGAACATGGCAAAGAGTTGCAGAAGCTGAGCTGAAAACCTAGGGCACAGCTGGGGAACCACTGAAAGACTTGCCAGAAACAGACAGGAGCGGAGGAGCTTCATCGCTGCCCAAAAGGCCAGAGGCGTAATGGGAACATGATGATGATGATTTTAACAATTTATTTTTCAAAGGCAGAGGCTCACCTCCAACATTCCACTTCATACAAAAGCCCCATTTAAAAATGATGCAGCATCTTATCAAGAGACTCAATATCAGCGTTAGCAACTTCACTTATAAGATAGATTGGCCAAATTCAAACAGTTTTGTAATTTTTCAAGTCCCCTTTCCTTAATCTTGTTTATAATAATCCCCTGGAAGCTTAAAACTTTTCCTTCATGTTCCTGTCCCTTCTCAGCCCTGCGCAAACACAAACACACTGAGGAGCAGAAATGCCCCTTGGGAATTCCTCAATATACAGGTGGTGTGGTTGGGTGCCAGAAGCCTCACTCACATTCCCTGACTCCCCAACATAAACTGGGCTGGGGAATGGCTTGGGATGGGAGGGAGCATATCTGGGGCACAGCCAGACTACTCTGGCTAGTGTGGCTGCAGGGCAGCTCACTGGCAGCTGGCCTTTCCAGCAGCCCAGAATCTTAGCCCTGGTCTACACTTCGGGGGGAGGGGGTGGGGGGGAGGGAACAATCTAAGTTACACAACTTCAGCTACGTGAATAATGTAGCTGAAGTCGACATACTTAGATCTACTCACCGTGGAGGGTCGACTGCTGCTGTTCCCCCGTCGACTCCGCCTGCACCTCTCGCTCAGGTGGAGTACAGGAGTTGACGGGAGAGCGCTCAGCAGTCGATTTATCGTGTCTAAACTAGACACGATAAATCGACCCCCCCACTGGATCGATCGCTGCCCGTCGATCCTGTGGGTAATGTAGATAACCCCTAGAGGGGCAAAGGTTGGGTGGGCATAGAGCTACCTGTCCGCACACACCTAGGCTGTGCCTCCTGCATGGGGCAGCATAGAATCTAACCCCAGCTGTTAAAGGGCTTTACATGAGCCATGCTACTTCCCGATAAGGAGTTTCTTTTGAAAGGGAAAAGTAGCATTTATTTTGAACCTCAACCTCAAACATGTGCACTCACACACTTATATACACTCACACACAAATATATAGTAACATGGACTTCACAGATAGGTAAATGAAATATAAAGGAAAGGAAATTCTGGCCCTTCCCAGTCCTGTCACAGTATCTTATTAAAAACACTAATGCCTTACTCCAGAAGACTGAATATCAACACCCATTCACTTGATCTGTAGAGGAAGTTACAAACTTACAAAGATAATATAACACAAAGTATTTCACATTTAAGCAGCCCTAAGGGAACTCTACTGAACCCTGAGGAGTGATAACATGGTGTTTTTTTATTATTGGCCAAACCCAGAGGTTTAGTATCTAGGAACAAACTTTTGCTGATCTGAAGCCTGGAAATTAAGGCCTGCTGTGCACTAGAAAATGGACAGTGTTTCATACCCATTGTCCAGCCTAACTCTTCTCAGACTCCATGTTCAGCCCTGCTTGGCTGCTCGTGTAAACTGGGCCAAGCAATGCTACACACCTAATAAAGAATTCAAGACTGGGACCTTGCTAGACAGAGGGACCAATCGCACATTCCATCTTGGATATTGAACACATTTTGGTCTCATCTGCATCCAAAACCAAGCGTGAAAGAGGAGGGACCTCAGGATGGGGACCCTGTGTGGTGGTGGTGATGAACACAGATTATTTTCTAGTGCAGACACACCCTATTGCGATGGTCAGATATTTTAGATCACCATGTGAGAAAACACAGGAGTCTGAAGAGAAAACCCACATCTAAGGCTTTGTGTAGCAATTAACATTCAGGCTTTGTATTAAGCTGGATGTCAGTCGCCCACCACTTACCTGGTGACTTGTGTCCTGGTGCCAAAGTCCAGAGACCTCATTGACTGCAACACTTCTATACAGCCCATGTACTAGAGTAGAAATGGAGAGCAAAAAAAAAAAAAAAAAAAAAAAAAAAAAAAAAAAAATCACAGCTATTTAAAAGAACACCTTGAAAAACAGAAAGAGGGTCACAACTGGGTGCAGACATAATTTTGGCCCTTTAAGGACATTAAATAGATGTAGAAACATTTGTACAACTGTTTTCAAATCTACTCAACAATTTATATTTTATTTGATTGAATAATGTAACTGATGAAACAAGGATTGTAAACAACATAACATTAAAAGGAGGCAGGGCAATTGCCACACACAAAAATCTAACCACCTCCCTCTCCTCGACCCTACTTATCATTGGTTATCTTATTTCAGTTTGTGACAGTCCACTAGGTTTACCACTGGACCATGAGGGATGTGTGAAAGGCAGTGGTGACATTTATACATTAGCAGAAGGGCCATATGCCTTAGGACTGTCCTGCAGAGTGGCCAGGCAGGGAACTGCATGTCACGCCAAATAGGACAGCATGGAGGGAAGTATTGGTGAGTACAAGAGGAAGGGCCTTTGGATCCACACCTGTGCAGATTCAGTGGCTGGCAACCCCCATATAGGGTGTTGGGAGAGCAGTGGCTGCTATTCCAGTCCCCAGCAGCAGGTGTGGAGGGACTGTATCATAGAGCACCAGCCTGCCCCTAGATCAGTGGATTAATTCTGTCCCCTCCAATCTACAGTACACACTTGATTTCCTGCAACAAAGCTGATTCATATGGGCTTTGTACAGGGGTAGGGGTGAAACAAAGAACTGTCAATCAGAACCTATGTGGAATCTCAGGATGTATTAGCCTAGGGATTCTTTGATGGTTACATACGAACCTATGGACATTTCTAGCTCAGTACAGTATGTAAGTCAAAGCCACTGACTGATATTACTTCACTCCAAAACATGTACAGTAGAACCTCAGAGTTACAAACTGACCGGTCAACCACACACCTCATTTGGAACCAGAAGTACGCAATCAGGCAGCAACAGGGACAAAAAAAAGCAAATACAGTACAGTTGCATGTTCTTCCGGTGAGTTAGCCACATGACTGTCTCTTCCTGAATTAAAGCCTCTGTTTGGTGAATGAAAAGAACTAAAGTAAGGAGATTATGGAATATTCTTACAGAAGCTACAGCTGACACTAGCTTGAGGATTTCTGAAATTACTGTTACAGAAATATTTTTAGCGTACCCAAGTTTTGTTCTGTTTTTTAATTGTACAAAGTGGTATTTCTGCTGTTGGAAACTGTGACATCGTCCTGTAGGGCTGTGATTTAAAAATGAAAGGAAGTAAAAATCTGAGTTATACATTGCAGCATTTATGGAGAATGGTGTGTTCTTTCGTAAGAGCTAACTAATGAGAAGGGGAGTAGCTAAGCATGTTGCACAGAAAAGCATTGTAAAAGTCTGTTTTCAGGCACAGTTTTTAAACTCCATTTTCTCTTAGGAACAGAAATTCAGTGAGCTGGCCGGCGACACTCTGCTTCCTTGGATGAAACGAAAGATTCAGAGGAGGGAGTGAGTCATATGCTGGGATCATATGATGATGAGTAAATTCACCCTTGCATCCTGAACAGATGCGTGGGAAGCTACTCTAAGCAAAGATGAAAAAAATCAATACTAGGTTTTCGCAATAAATTACCCTGACTGGAGCTGAGCTGATTCACAAAAGATGACTCCTTACTTAAAACCTGGGTAGAGGAAATGCATTAATATGGCAGCTTCCTCAGTTCCCTGATTTGTTTACTGTCCATGAGTGACCTGAAGATACATGATCAATAAAGTCTGAATCTCCAAATCTCAGGGGGAAAAGAGCAGGGAAAAGTGTAGAAAGAAGATAGTGGCCAGGGTCCAGGAGAAGCCGGTCAAAGAGAATGGGAGAAGCTGATCAACGGGAATGGGAGGGAAATGGAAGGCTGTGCCCCAGTATTCAGGAACTTGTGCTGAAGAAGAGACCTGTGGAGCAATCAAAAAGGGACTTAAAGGAGACTGGAACCCCTGCTAAAATAAAGCAAAAGAGACTGCCCTAGGAAGTAAAAAGTGTGATGCCTTTGACTTCGGGTCTGTCTACACTGGAGCTGGAGGTGTCACTTCTAGTGCAGGTAGACATACCCACACTAGCGCTGATTGAGTAGTGCAGTACCAGTAGAAGTGTAGCTGCCATGGCATGAGTAGCGGGATGGGCTAGCCACCCAAGTACCTAGGTAGGGCGGGGGGTCTTACCCAAGTGTTGCCCTAACTACCCTCTTGTACCCCCTCCCACAAAACCCCCTCACCTGAGTTTACTGGTGCTTGCAAACTGGGCTAGCTGGCGTGGATGGGGAAGTGGGCAAGAGCCTGGGTTCTGCTTTCACTCAGGCTGGTAACCACTTTGCAGTGAGGATGCAGGCTCACTCATCTGAATGCCAGTAGTCACCCACTGCCTTCCCACAATTCCCTTCATGCACCCAGAAGGATGGGCAAATCTCCCACATTTCACTGGGAAAGAATAATTGAGCCACTCAGATTACTGTACCACAGGGAACCATGGAATATGTCCTGAGAAGGCCTAATGATACTCTCATGGGAGTGCAGCAGTAGGAAGGACGGAGTAACAAGTAACTTTGGTAGGGCTTTGCATTGTAGCTGCTCAGATTCATGCTAGGTTAAACCCAGGTGCAAATCACCTGAGTTACCTCAGCAGTGAAGAATGGCTGTCTGACTCAGTTTGGAAGTGGAGGTGGAAGCAGTGGCTCCATGAAATAGCCACCTTGGGTATGGAAGGAGTTTGGTTGGAGTCGGAGACTGCCAAAGGTTTGCACAGGCCAGCATTCTCCTGGCTTCCCCCTTTTTATTTTAAAATAGGGCATAGGCATGGGATTAGCCAGTCTAGCATCTGGTGTAAGTGTTTCAGGAATCAGAAGGAGTGGGATCAAGCCCTTGTGAGTATGACATCCTCACCCTAGTGGTGTAATAAAATACCTTGTAGTATAAGTTATAATATTCTATATACTCTTTCCCATGTTATAATACACTTCTGCATATAAAACTTTCAGTACCAACGCTCCTGGGTTAAGAAAATAGTTAAAATCCCAGCAGGGTTGGCTAGAAGAAAGGATGTCTACTTGAACAACAGCCTGGGGCAGAGGCACCTTTAGAAATTACAATGGAATGTGCTACTTCTACACCAATTCAAAGTTAAATCTTGGAAATGTGCTTTCCTCCAGTTCCTCAGTGACTGGCTGAGATCAGCAGCCAGATGAAGAAGGGCTGGCAGATGTTAAACCCTAGCAAGGTAGAATGGTTATGCTTGAAGAAGAGTTTGCCATCTTGGTGAGGCCACAAATTGACAAAGTCAGAGTTCCACAAATTGTCAAGACAATGTGCAATTTAGGAGTTCTGGGCTCCTTGTTGACCCAGGTCTTGAATAAAGCAGGATTCCCAGAGACACATCCCATCCTTGCTGATGATCACTTATTAATGATAATGCTGGCCATACAATTTATTTAGGCTTGAAAGCAACAGCACCTAGAAAACTGCAGCTACTGCACGATGCGGCAGCAGACCCACATAGCTTCATAGGTTACCAAGAGCGTGTTGCCCTGGAGCTCTGGTCTCTACATTGTACCTGAATAGAAAACAATGTTACATTTGATGTTTGGTCCTTCTTTCCATGCTATAAATGGTCATGGCTTAGGATACTTAAAAGGCCACTTCACTGTCCAGGACCTCAATATTGTCAACAGCTCCAGTCCTCAAAAATAATCAAACCATCTGCTGCCAGGGTGAGGACGTTTGCTGAGGAGACAGGCCTTTCTCAGGGGCCCATGGGGACTGTGGTCTCTCCCATAGGAGCTCAGAGCTATTATACACCTTACCATGGTCCAGCTGAAAAGCAAGAAACTTTTTCAACCCGATCTTCCCAAACACAGAGCAGAGCACTTTAAATTATTCGTAATATATATATTTCTAGCAAGCTACCCATGCTGTTTTTCCCCCTGCAGGATGAATGGAAAGAAAATCCCAACTACAAGATGGTTTAAGTCTAAATTTGGAAGGTGTTTTCATGCCACAATAATTGACTGAGTAAAAAAATGTAAATGAAATAGGCCAGAGTAATTAGCTTACTCAAGGTTGTTGTAATAAAAGATACAAGTATAAGGGCCAGTTACTTGTATGCAAACTTTTGACCTAAACAGCTGATGTAGCATCTGAATATGCCAATAGCAGCTTGATTCTTGATTTCCAAAGCTGTAGAAGGAGGTACTTGTCACTAAGACTCAAAGGCCAAAGGAAAGCAGTAGAGAGAATCAAAGCTGAATCAAGGGTACTGCACAGAGCAAGAACAGCAGAGAATGCAGATAATGTACTGTCCTGACTACAGAAATACTCTGCCTAAGGAAAAGCACCATAACTAAATTTGAGCCCTAGGCTAAGAACATGACTTCTGCAATTAGGGCTCGATCTAAAGCCCACAGAGGTCAATAGTAAAGTTCCCATTGACTTCAGTGAGGCAGGGTCAGGCATACACATGGTAGTCCCTCTTTCAGGTTTGAGGGACAGGATTTGATAGTATGTGCTAGAGAGGATTGTTCCTTGCTAAAGGAGAGGCCAACAACTCTTCCAACAGGTATGGGTGTGAGAATAACCCCCGACTCCCTGTATTGGGTGGGGGAGGGTAATCCTGGATAGCGGGGTCTAGACATCCTTATGCCGAAGCTGATTTGGGAACAATTCTTGTGTAACCGAGCTGGGGAAGTTAAAGGTGGAATCTTTTCCCTTCTAGTTACAACAGTATGATGCAGAGTCAATGAAAAGCAGGATGAAAAGTTGCGTGGGAGGAGGTGCCAGGATGCAGCAACATAGGTTATGTGACTTTGATGACCCCTTCAACTACAGCTCCAAGGCTCCTGCCTTGCCTTTCCTTAACACAGCTAATGCTTCCGGTACTAGTTTGAACGACTGCACTGATTCACCTAAATAAGTGAGACAGCGAGCAAAATGCCGTGCTTCAA